GAACCAAGAAGATGAATCCCTGCAGTCACGAAAGCTTTAAATCGAAATCTGTCTCTCCCTTTCGTGTTGTGCGCGGCGCATTTAGCGCCACAGCGCGTGGATTTACAGCGTTTGCTATTTGTGTTGCTGGTGACTTTGTGTATTTCGTATCGGAATCGCCTCCAGTGCTGTTGCTGCTGGCGGCAATAAAAGTTGTTTAAAAGTCAAAAGTCTCTCTCTCCTGAAGCTCCTCTTGCCGTGGCTAGCAGAGCTCGACATTGGCATTTAACTCCTGAACCACATTGCCAAAACGCGAAGATTAAAATAGGACCCACTGGCGATCATTTGAATCTCAGGTCTCCTGGGGAAAAGAGACGTTCGTCTCGTGCGCGAGGCACGTGTTGACTCACAGCGCCACGACCCACTGAGAATCTCACGCCATCTGCCGAGGACTCCCACACATTGCACAGCTTCTGATCCTTCTTCCGTACGGCTGCTGATGTGGATGGAAGGGCGCAGACTATAATTTCACAAGCAGGTGGTCAAGCTCAATTAACCGCGTCAGGAGCAGCGTGGAGTGTCATCCCTGCGACGTCTCCTTCGTATTTGTGGATCGGGGCATTGTGTGGTCGTTCCACATTGTGCTGTCTGTTCTGGATGACCACAGTCGCACACTACGACAGGAGAGTTGTTCATTTTTAAATCCTTTATATTAAGTTCACTTGCTTGCTTGCTTAGGACCGTGCAAATCTTTCGGTCGTTTTTTAACCCACTTCCCGTGATCCAATCGAGCTGACATTTTGCACACAGACTCGTTGTGCGTGACAATGCATTTTCGTGAAAAAATGTTTCCAAAATTTTACACTGTTTAGGGAATTTTTAAAAATATTTATTTACCAATTGGTTAATGCTGGCACACAATCATCTGACCCATAGGTGGCAGCCATCTCAAGCCAGAGCACGAGATGACTCTAGCCGCCACGCATATAAAGGATTTATAGTGAAAAACTTTGTTTTTACGGGTTATACTTATCCTGTTTGTCCACCGGGTATCCGCATCTGCAGCCATTGTTCGTGCAGTGGATGTGATTGATGGTGGACCGCGAGCTTTATGGAAGATCAAACCCAGGCATCTTCCACATCCAAGGGAACTCGTCATTCCCTTGAATAATGTAAGTTGGCTCGGGCAGATTATTTGTCGGCATAATGCATTTACAAAGGTTAGTTGCAGAACCAGTCAAACATATGCAGGGTGACTTTTGTACTAATATGTACATGTTCACGAGGGTATATGTCAGAGTGGTGGTGAGTTTTTAAGACATGACGTAGGGGGCTGTCCATAAATGACGTCATGCGATTTTGGACGATTTTTGACCCCCCCCCCCCCCCCATCGTTACACGGCGTCACAAAAAGTCAGAACCCCCCTCAAATATGACGTCACAAAGCTCTGCCCCCCCCCCAAATAATAAATAAAACTTGCTTCAAATCGCTTTAAAGTATTGTCATTGTAGTGCGTATTTAATGTGGCGCTGCACTCTGATGTTGTAGGAGAAAACATTTCTTAAAAAGTCTATTTAATTAAGTAGAACGTGTTGTCTATATTCATTTAAAGTTGCGCATTTTGATGTGACGTCACATCTCTCACCCCCCCCCCCCCCCTCGTCACACATCGTCACAAATGTCTGACCGCCCCCCCCAGGTGCGTGACGTTATTTATGGACGGCTCCTTAAAGAGCTCTCACGATTCTAATTGTCTTATTACCAAAGCGTTCCACAGTCTGGGAACTGCACAGTGGCAAAAAAGCCTGATTGACACCAATAAATGAGCCTTACTGGGTAATTACACGTGATTCATCCGATTGAATTTATGACATATATTGAAAAAAAAGCTATTCAAGGCAGGGTCTGATATGTAACTTAACGTAAAGATAAACATACTTTAACAAATGTTTCGTGTGCATTATAAATACACGCGTCTGGAAGAACGGACGTGGCTACTACAGCAGCATGCGTCAGGCCCAACACGATGCACACACTAGGGGGCATCTGCGAACAAGAGCTTGAGAGTGTTGCCTCCGAAACGTCGTGATTTTTTTATTTTACTTTTATTAATTTTAATTTTTTACCTACGTGACTTTACCGAAAAAACCTAAGAGTAAGAACTTGAGAGTGTTGCCTCCGAAACGTCGTGAATTTTTTTTATTTTATTTTACTTTTATTAATTTAAAATTTTCACCTACGTGACTTTACCGAAAAAACCTAAGAGTAAGAACTTGAGAGTGTTGCCTCCGAAACGTCGTGAATTTTTTTTATTTTATTTTACTTTTATTAATTTAAAATTTTCACCTACGTGACTTTACCGAAAAAACCTAAGAGTAAGAACTTGAGAGTGTTGCCTCCGAAACGTCGTGAATTTTTTTTATTTTATTTTACTTTTATTAATTTAAAATTTTCACCTACGTGACTTTACCGAAAAAACCTAAGAATATGAACTTGAGAGCTCGTCAAATTCCTCCAGCAGCACAGAGAGGACCCCCCCCGCCCCCCCCCCCCTCGGTAATATGGCGCTCCACGTGCCACGCCGGCGTGACGTCACGCTCCCTCGCCACGTGGCCACAGCGATCACGTGACACCTCCCACACCACCACCCCTCCTCCCCATAGACTGTCAGGGTGGGGGGTGGTGAATGGGGGTGGATGGGGGGGGTGGATGGGGGGGGTTGGGGGGGGTGGATGGGGGGGTGGATGGGGGGGGGTTGGATGGGTGGGTGGATGGGGGGGGGATTGGGGGAGGGTGGATGGGGGGGGGTGGATGGGGGGGTGGATGGGGGGTGGATGGGGGGGTGGGATGGGGGGGTGGATTGGGGGGGGGATGGGGGGGTGGATGGGGGGGGGGGGTGGATTGGGGGGGGTGGATGGGGGGGGGATGGGGGGGGGGGTGGATGGGGGTGTGGAGGGGGGTGGGATGGGGGGGGTGGATGGGGGGGTGGATGGGGGGGTGGATGGGGGGGTGGATGGGGGGGTGGATGGGGGGTGGATGGGGGGGGGTTGGATGGGGGGGGTGGATGGGGGGGGGATTGGGGGGGGGGTGGATGGGGGGGGTTGGATGGGGGGGGGGGGGGGATGGGGGGGGTTGGATGGGGGGGGTGGATGGGGGGGGTGGATGGGGGGGGGGTGGATGGGGGGTGGATGGGGGGGTGGATGGGGGGGTGGATGGGGGGGGGGATGGGGGGGGTGGATGGGGGGGTGGATTGGGGGGGGGGGGGGTGGATGGGGGGGTGGATGGGGGGGTGGATGGGGGGGTGGATGGGGGGGGTTGGATGGGGGGGTGGATGGGGGGGGTGGATGGGGGGGTGGATGGGGGGGGTGGATTGGGGGGTGGATGGGGGGGGTGGATGGGGGGGGGTGGATGGGGGGGGTGGATGGGGGGGGTGGATGGGGGGGGTGGATGGGGGGGGTGGATGGGGGGGTGGATGGGGGGTGGATGGGGGTGGATGGGGGGGTGGCATGGGGGGGTGGATGGGGGGGGTTGGATGGGGGGTGGATGGGGGGGTGGATGGGGGGGGTTGGATGGGGGGGGTGGATGGGGGGGGTGGATGGGGGGGGTGGATGGGGGGGGTTGGATGGGGGGGGTGGATGGGGGGGTGGATGGGGGGGTGGATGGGGGGGTGGATGGGGGGGGTGGATGGGGGGGGTGGATGGGGGGGGTGGATGGGGGGGGTTGGATGGGGGGGTGGATGGGGGGGGTGGATGGGGGGTTGGATGGGGGGGGTGGATGGGGGGGGTGGATGGGGGGGGTGGATGGGGGGGGTTGGATGGGGGGGGTGGATGGGGGGGGTTGGATGGGGGGGGTGGATGGGGGGGTTGGATGGGGGGGTGGATGGGGGGGGTTGGATGGGGGGTTGGATGGGGGGGTGGATGGGGGGGTGGATGGGGGGGTGGATGGGGGGGGTGGGGGGGGGTGGATGGGGGGGTGGATGGGGGGGTGGATGGGGGGGTGGATGGGGGGGGTGGATGGGGGGGGTGGATGGGGGGGGTGGATGGGGGGGTGGATGGGGGGGTTGGATGGGGGGGGTGGATGGGGGGGGTGGATGGGGGGGTGGATGGGGTGGGTGGATGGGGGGGGTGGATGGGGGGGTGGATGGGGGGGTGGATGGGGGGGTGGATGGGGGGGGTGGATGGGGGGGTTGGATGGGGGGGGTGGAGGGGGGGGTGGATGGGGGGGGTGGATGGGGGGGGTTGGATGGGGGGGTGGATGGGGGGGGTTGGATGGGGGGGTGGATGGGGGGGGTGGATGGGGGGGTTGGATGGGGGGGTGGATGGGGGGGTGGATGGGGGGGTGGATGGGGGGGGTGGATGGGGGGTGGATGGGGGGTTGGATGGGGGGGTTGGATGGGGGGGGTGGATGGGGGGGGTGGATGGGGGGGGTGGATGGGGGGTGGATGGGGGGTGGATGGGGGGGTGGATGGGGGGGGTTGGATGGGGGGGTGGATGGGGGGGGTGGATGGGGGGGTGGATGGGGGGGGTGGATGGGGGGGTGGATGGGGGGGGTGGATGGGGGGGTGGATGGGGGGGGTTGGATGGGGGGGGGATTGGGGGGGGTGGATGGGGGGGGTTGGATGGGGGGTGGATGGGGGGGGGTGGATGGGGGGGGTGGATGGGGGGGTGGATGGGGGGGTGGATGGGGGGGGTGGATGGGGGGTGGATGGGGGGGTGGATGGGGGGGGTGGATTGGGGGGGGTGGATGGGGGGGTGGATGGGGGGGGGGGATGGGGGGTGGATGGGGGGGTGGATGGGGGGGTGGATGGGGGGGGGATGGGGGGGGGATGGGGGGGTGGATGGGGGGGGTTGGATGGGGGGGTTGGATGGGGGGGTGGATGGGGGGGGTGGATGGGGGGGGTTGGATGGGGGGGGTGGATGGGGGGGGTTGGATGGGGGGGGGGGTTGGATGGGGGGGTGGATGGGGGGGGGGATTGGGGGGGGTGGGTGGGGGGTGGATGGGGAACTCGCAGGTCACGTGACGCAGGTCCAGCTGGGCACGTGACGTCACGCGGCACGTGACGTCACGTGGGGTCCACGTCGGCAGAGACGGCGGCATGGAGTCGTCAGCGATGGTACCAGCGCGGCTGTGCGCTGCGCGTCTCGCGTCGCGTCTCCCCCTCTCTGTCCCTCGTGTCTCCGCGTCTCCTCCTCCTCATCACCCTCCTCCCCTCTCTCTGCTGCTCCTCTCCCACAGCTGATGTTTACCCCTCTCCCTCCCGTCCCGTCTCGCTCACCTCTTTCTGCTCGCTCCTCCACCACTTTCTCTCTCCACCACTTCCCTCTCCTCGTCTGTTCTCAACGACCTCCCTCTCCTCTCCTACATCTTTCTTCTCTCTCTCTCTCGCCCCGTCCTCCACTCGCCGTTCCGTCTCGAGCCATCTTCCTCCCTCCCCCCTCTCTGCCTATCGTCCTCTCTTCATCCTCCTCCTTCCCTCCCTCCCTCTCGCGTCTCCCTTCCTCGTCTCCCTCTCGCGTCTCCCTTCCTCGTCTCCCTCTCGCGTCTCCCTTCCTCGTCTCCCTCTCGCGTCTCCCTTCCTCGTCTCCCTCCCCCCCGTGGGGGCTCCGGCAGAGCTGCAGGGCACGAAGAGCTTCTTGACGAGGGGCCTCTGTCGCGTCACATGCGGCGGGCGGTGTGCGGGACGTCCGCACTCATTCACTTAAAGTGCCACGTCTATTGACAGCGGTGTGCGTGTGTGTGTGTACGTGTGTACGTGTGTGTGTGTGCGTGTGTACGTGTGTGTACGTGTGTGTGTGTGCGTGTGTACGGTGTGTACGTGTGTGTGTGTGTGCGTGTGTAGTGTGTGTACGTGTGTGTGTGTACGCGTGTGTGTACGTGTGTGTGTGTATGTGTGTATGTGTGTGTGGTGTGTACGTGTGTGTGTGTGTACGCGTGTGTGGTACGTGTGTGTGTGTACGTGTGTGTGCGTGTGTGTGTACGTGTACGTGTGGTGTGTGTGTACGGTGTGTGCGTGTGTACGTGTGTGTGTGTGTACGTGTGTGTACGTGTGTGCGCGTGTGTGTGTGTGCGTGTGTGTGTGTTACGTGTGCGTGTGTGTACGTGTTGTGCGTGTGTGTACGTGTGTGTGCGTGTGTGCGTGTGTGTACGTGTGTGCGCGTGTGGTGCGTGTGTGGTGTGCGTGTGTGTGTGTGGGTGTGTACGTGGTGCGAGTGTGTGTGTGTGTGGTGTGTGTGTGTGCGTGTGTACGTGTGTGTACGTGTGTGCGCGTGTGTGGTGTGTGCGTGTGTGTACGTGTGTGGTGCGTGTGTGCGTGTGTGTACGTGTGTGCGTGTGCGTGTGTGTACGTGTGTGCGCGTGTGCTGTGTGTGCGTGTGTGCGCGTGTGTGTGTGTGTGCGTGTGTGTACGTGTGTGTGTGTACGTGTGTGTGCGTGTGTGTACGTGTGTGTATGTGTGTACGTGTGTGTGCGTGTGTGTACGTGTGTGTACGTCTGTACGTGTGTGTGTACGTGTGTGTGCGTGTGCGTGAACTTCTTTCGCGCCGTACGTAGCCAACCGCGCTCATCGGGAGGTGCGGGTGGAAGGACAACGACACTAAACGCAAAGTAGAAGTTCTAAAAGGAATTAGTTTTCAATCGACATTTGTTCAGGGAAGGAAAAAAACAAACTTGAGGTTTGAAAGACTTTAGAGGCTTTCATAGGAATAATAAAAACAAGTTGTATTATACTGCTGGATGAAGATCTCACAATGACTTTGCCCCCCCCCCCCCCACTGATGTTAAATCTGAGAGGAGGACTCCGTTCGTAGTGGATGGAGTGCGCTAATCGCTGCGCCACCACTCCCCCCAGTGGTGGATACGTGGCCGAGCAACTCGGGTTCCTGGCTCTCCTCTCAAGTTTAGTCGACTTAGCCAGCCGAGATATCAGGATGAGTCATTTGCACGAGTGACCTGAATCAATTATTTCTTAGGGTGGTGCCACGTTGGCGAGATGTTGACTACCTCGCCTGGTATACAGGAGGTCGTGGGTTCGATCCGTGACCCTGATGAGATGTTGACTACCTCGCCTGGTACACAGGAGGTCGTGGGTTCGATCCGTGACCCTGATGAGATGTTGACTACCTCGCCTGGTACACAGGAGGTCGTGGGTTCGATCCCGACCCTGATGAGATGTTGACTACCTCGCCTGGTGTACAGGAGGTCGTGGGTTCGATCCGTGACCCTGATGAGATGTTGACTACCTCGCCTGGTGTACAGGAGGTCGTGGGTTCGATCCCGACCCTGATGAGATGTTGACTACCTCGCCTGGTGTACAGGAGGTCGTGGGTTCGATCCTGTGACCCTGATGAGATGTTGACTACCTCGCCTGGTGTACAGGAGGTCGTGGGTTCGATCCCAGACCCTGATGAGATGTTGACTACCTCGCCTGGTACACAGGAGGTCGTGGGTTCGATCCCAGACCCTGATGAGATGTTGACTACCTCGCCTGGTCTACAGGAGGTCGTGGGTTCGATCCGTGACCCTGATGAGATGTTGACTACCTCGCCTGGTATACAGGAGGTCGTGGGTTCGATCCGTGACCCTGATGAGATGTTGACTACCTCGCCTGGTATACAGGAGGTCGTGGGTTCGATCCCGACCCTGACGACGCCTGTGTGTGTTTGGGGGGTTTGCGTGTTCTCTGTCTCTCTCGGGGTTTTCTCTCCACATTCAGAAGCGCGGGTTTAAGACGATTTGCCTGCTGTAAAGTCCCCACGTGATGATAAGCCACTTCGTTGAGCTGCCATTTGTGGCCAAGGTCGCTTCTGAAAACGAGCTATAGATGGCTCAGTTGGCCTTACCTGCTAAACATAAATCATGTCACGCGTGTGAAGTGTTGGTGTGTGAAGTGTTGGTGTGTGAAGTGTGTGCGTGTGAAGTGTTGGTGCGTGAAGTGCGTGTGTAGTGCGTGTGTAGTGAGTGTAGTGTGTATGTGAAGTGTGTGTGTAGTGTGTGTAGTGTGTGTGTAGTGTGTGAAGTGTAGTGTGTATAGTGTGTGTGTAGTGTAGTGTGTAGTGTGTGTAGTGTGTGCGTGTGTAGTGTGTGTGTGAAGTGTGTGTGTGTGTAGTGTGTGTAGTGTGTGTGTAGTGTGTGTGTGAAGTGTGTGAAGTGTGTGTAGTGTGTAGTGTGTGTGGAGTGTGTGTAGTGTGTGTGTGCGTGTGTAGTGCGTGTGTTGGTGTGTGCGTGTGTAGTGCGTGTGAAGTGTGTGTAGTGCGTGTGTAGTGCGTGTGTAGTGCGTGTGTAGTGTGTGTAGTGTGTGCGTGTAGTGTGTGAAGCGTGTGTGCGTGTGTAGTGTGTTGGTGTGTGCGTGTGTAGTGCGTGTGTAGTGTGTGAAGTGTGTGTGTAGTGTGAGTGTAGTGTGTGAAGTGTAGTGTGTGAAGTGTAGTGTGTGTAGTGTGTGTGTGAGGTGTGTGTAGTGCGTGTGTAGTGTGTGTAGTGTGTGAATCATGCGAAATGTGTGCGCCGGGTGGCGCGTTTCCAACGGCCTCGATGCAACGCGTGCGGCGCTTGTGGCTTGTGGTTGCTGATCTGTATCAGAGATGACATCCGCGCGGGTCCGCCCCTTGCAGTGCTACTAACACCACCAGGCTTTCGAACCGAAGTTGTGTGGTACACTTGGGCTGTGCTGTCAAGGAAGTCAGTGCAAAACAGAACTTTGGTTGGAGAGCCGCGCTCGGTTAATGCATGACGATCCTCCCGCACCCCCTCCACACACACACATGCCGCACGCCAGAGTTGGGAGTGTGGAAGCGGCTTTCGCACGACCAGGCAACGCGTCCCCCAATGTCTGGCAACATGCTGGCTTCCCGTATGTTTGTCTCTTAGCATTGACGTGTGTGTCATATTTCGATGTAAAGCTTTCGTGACTGCAGGGATTCATCTTCTTGGTTCTTTCGGTAAAGTCACGTAGAAGGGAAATAATAAAATAATAAAATAAAACAAAAAAATAATTCTCACGACGTTTCGGCCACAACGCAAGCAGCCGTCCTCAGGTGAAGACCAGTTCTGTCGGGGAGACAGCGTCGTTAATATGCGTGCGTCTTGGGTGTGTTGTGTCTGCTCACCGGCTCAAAGTCGCGTACGCGCGCTGCGCTACGACACCCGGCAACCCGAGTTCGATTCCCGCTCACGGACATCAACACCATCGGTCGCGATTATCTGCACCAGTCCTGGGCCTCCCCTAGGTCAACTCGGCCTCATATGAGTACCTGGTGCAGTGTGTACAAACATCGTTACTGGGGAGACAGGCGTTCGGGCATAGTGCTGGCACATCCACGGCCTCGTGTGCCGTGCCGACCTTCGTAGGTGCCGCTCACCAACAGCACTTGCCCTCAACTGTCTGTTAGGCTATACGGGCGATCTTTGTGTCTGTGCCTTTGTGTCCGTAGCACGTGGTAGACGCTGACAAGAGTTATCTTTTTCTACGTCTCTCTCGTGGTCTGCAGGAGCCCTCCCTGTTGTCGGTGAAGGCCATCTTCATATTGGATGCCGATGGGGAGCGAATCTTCTCCAAGGTGGGGCGGTGGGGCAGCTGCTCCTGGAACTCGGAGACCCTTCGTGAAACATATCCATCCCAATCGTTAGCTACCGCGTCTCTTAACTAATTGTGCTTAGAAAATGTTTGTTGTTTAGCGCGTGCGAGTGTGAGACTGCTTTTTTGGGGTTTAGTTTGTTGTCCTTCTCCCGCACCTCCGATTAGAACGGTTGGCTACGTACGGTGCGAACAGACTTTCAACATACATTCGTACATACAACTCGCTGAATTTGGTCTCTGCCGGTTGAATATTTAGCTTTCCCTGGGGTTGGGGGGAGGGGGCCCCCCCGGGTACTGATGGGGGGCTCGAAATGAACGCTAAATCCATTGCCCCGCTCTGTCTTTATCATTGATGATGGTCTTCTACGTATGTATGTCACATTGGAATAGATCAGCCATTGTACATTCACACACTATGTATGGGCAGCAGAGGGCAGTGCAGTAATATCGTCTGATTGTAGAGTCATACCCACATTTACGTCTCGCCGTTTTTACGTCGTTCCGGAAATAAGCCGTCACTTTGTTTTCAACACCGCGACAGGATTTGCGTCGCCTTGACCCCGCACTTACGTCACGTGACGGCATCATCATCATCATCATCCGTCCTTTCTTGTTATCCGTCGCCTCTCGGCCTTCGCCTCCACCACCTGCCCCTGTAAATCGCTTTGATTTCTGTCGTTTCACTATTCGTCATCGCACCTTTTAGGAAGCCATCCCCGACGCAAGCCGATGGTATTACTGTATCATCGGCTTACATCAGAGATACCCGATACAGTAATACGAAAGGCATGCGTTATTCAGAAAACACGCGTAAAACTAAATTTCGTAAACCATCCCCTGCACATTTTTCGATTTAAAGCTTTCGTGACTGCAGGGATTCATCTTATTGGTTCTTTCGGTAAAGTCACGTAGAAGGGAAGTAATAAAATAATACAAATAAAACATAATAAAATAAAATAATTCTCACGACGTTTCGGCTACAACGCAAGCAGCCGTCTTCTTCACCTGAAGACGGCTGCTTGCGTTGTAGCCGAAACGTCGTGAGAATTATTTTATTTTATTATGTTTTATTTTTATTATTTTATTACTTCCCTTCTACGTGACTTTACCGAAAGAACCAAGAAGATCATCCCCCGCACAGCGCAGCGAGCACTCTACCGACGAGATTGAACAGCAGTCGTCCTATGGCGTTGAATTACCATGACACTACCGCTCGCCGCCCGCTTCACAGTGGACTTTATAAATATCCCCTGGTGTCGTTCGCAAGAGTCGGCTATTGTGCGGAGGTGTCGGTGTCCAAATTTGCCAACTTTGAAAAAAGAAAAATGACCCGCAAATTACTCCGTTGGGATGGGAATACACAGAGCAATCATCACCTCCCCCCACTACTGGCAGATTAATTCCCCGTGTGCAGGCTAGGCGCTGAGTCACCTTGTGCCTATAGGGACAGCTGCCACTCGGGGTCCCCCCTCCCCCTTTATATATATATAAGTATTGTCATTAAAGAACCCAGAATATAGTGGGAATTTAAAAAGGGAGGGAAAAACAACGGATAACGTTTGCCAAGGTAACAAGCATCCTCGGAATTAGGGACCGAACAAGGGCATCTGGGTTCGCTGCCAATCCGCGGTAGCAGTGTGTATATGAAGGGGGGATGGGGGGTAGATAATTGGGCTCCTCCTTAAAAAAGTTTAAGACGAGATGTGGTGCACAGCGCTCGGAGACTTGCCCCCCCCACCCGCCATCCCCCCATTGACGCATCGGGCGCTACGTCGAAAAACACAAACCGTTGTCGTTCCCGTCACAGAAGTGTGGAATTTCCACGACTGCACCGGCCAAGGGAGATGAGCGGCCCGCTCATGGATGACAATGCTCGTGTGTGGCTGTGGGGGGGGGGGGACGCGTGTGTGCTTGGACCGTTGGGTGAGACTCATCGTCATCCCCTGATGTCGTCGCTCTGTGTGTGTGTTTGTCCCTCTTTCCCCACCCACACGCCCCTCCCAAAACCGCGCTGCGTGTGCAGTATTACGACAACCCCCACCTGACCGTGAAGGATGAGAAGACATTCGAAAAGAACGTCTTCAGCAAAACTCAGCGGACTGAGAGTAAAAACTAATTATTTGGCCATCGCGCGACGTTTGCTGTGGGGTGCACGAGCACACATAACGAAAAAAACACAAAGCACTCGGTACATTCATCAATAACAGTGCGGCCTTAAGAAGTTTGAAATAGAATAGGCGGGCGTTTCTGACAATGGCCCTACTTCTTTCAGCGCAAGACAGAACCGCTCTCGATGCGAGCCTCTTTATTTGCTGGGGGATCCTCTATGTGCTCTGAAGAAGGCCCATTGCCCGAAACATCAGCGTATATTTTTGTATTTGAGTTTTTTTAAGGTCACGGTGCTATTGTCGAATGCGTCGAGGTTTTTTTTTTATTGCTTCGGTGTTTATGGACTGAGAGCAGGCGTGCCTGCGCGTTTTTTTTTTTGCGTACACACTTCACACACTTCAGTTTCCCGCCACTAGACGGAAACGTCCGTGATTGAGACAACGCCCTTGAGGGGCTGGCCCTTATCCCCTGCACCTCAGCGCCTACCCCCTTGCCGAGGTGTGAATTCCTCAATTACTGTGATGACAACACCCGACGCAGCTATATGCGAAGGGGGGTGACCTTGCCTTGCAAAGGTCGCGCGCGCTTGGATTGCCCTTGTCGGTGCACGTATGAAAGCGATTTTAGCGACGCGTGGTGAGCTTTCGGCCACGAGTCACCGGCAGACGCATTCCAGCATCGAGAGGTTCGGGGTGCCAACACCTGTGGTACGAGGATCGCACTGCATCGATAGAAATGGGTTGTCGGGTACCGCTCGTCACAGCCAAAAAATGTAAAGATGCCGACGCAGTGCAACGCAGTTTGGGTTTACGCAGCGTCTGAACCCTTCAGCATCTCCAATTTCGACAGACTACGTAAGGGATATGAAAAGTACAGCGTTGTTTTACGAGTCGACGGTTATATCGTGAAAAAATGTCTGTATTTATCTTGAACCTCGTTTGGGTCAACTCAGCCTTAAATGAGTACTTGGAGTGACGGGTGATTATTTCAGCACTGGGAAGACAAAGGCAGCTTGGCATTGTGCTGGCCACACCAAACCCCCGTTTTGCCTTTTCAGCCTTAATAGGTAATTGGTAATATATTATCAGGCTTAGGGATTAATACGGCTCAATTGAGGAAAATAGATTGATGGTATTCCTTCTTTCAAAATGTATTCGAGTGTTGAGAGACAAACCTCTGCCCTTGGGCGATATCGCAATGGTGAATGTTCGTCCATGCGTTTGTCACCAGACGAGATCGCCCTGCTGGATGGGCTCACTGTCGTGTACAAGAGCATCGTAGACCTGCACTTCTATGTCATCGGCAGCTCCCAGGAGAACGAGGTATCCGCATTGCCGAGCGGTGCGCCCGATGCATGTACAGTCTGTTTTCTATAGCGCGTGTTTACATGACGGGAATTGAATATGACGCGATGAATGCATTCGGGAACACGTGTTTTTTTTATAACGCGGATGCGAATTGGATATAACGCTATTGAATGAACAGAGCTACGTCGCACAAGTAGGAATCAGCGGTTTTGCGGCTGCCCCGGCTTAGCATCACACAAGGCGGGATGCTGCTGGATGCTTCTAGATGCTTCCCACGCTCTTCAGACTGTGCTTTGCCCGAAGTTTTGTATTATAACGCAATTTTTTTATATAACGCGATGTTCTTCATGAACGCAACTACTGCGTTATAGGAGAACAAACTGTACATTAAACTTCTTTCGGCACTGTACGTAGCCAACCGTGCTAATTGGAGGTCCGGGGAAAAGGACAACAACATTAACACAAAAAGCACTTCTAAAGAGATGAGTTTTCAATCGAGATGATTTAAAAGTGTGGACAGATCCAGCGGCTTCCGATTATCGGAAGGGAAGAGCGTTCCCAGACGGCCGCGGGAAGCGTGTCTGAAAGCGCGCGACTCGGTAACCGTCTTTGATAGATGGTTAGCCAAAAGCCGCCGCCACCGCCACTGCTGGGAGGATGACCAGAGTTAGCGGGATGAGACCGCCGTTGCCCGTGCCACGTGTGCGCGTCAGCGGTGCCTTGCAGCGCCGCGTGCCGGTGGAGGAATCGAGTGGTCGTTTACGTTTGTTTCTCACGGCCGTCTACGCGCGTGCGTGCGTGCGTGCCTGCGTTGTGCAGCTCATGCTGGTCGCTGTCCTCAACTGCCTCTTCGACTCGCTCAGCCAAATGCTCAGGTAGCCCTTTTGCACTCGCGAGACATTCCATTGATGTTGCACAGGTGAAATGTTGCGCCCGTGTTTTGTGTGCGCTGGACCCGAAAGAATTTTAATAATAATTATAAATTATAAAAATGTTTTAGTTTCAAACAGCCTCCCCGATTCATGCAAATTTGCATCTGCAAATCGCTGAGGAACCACAGACCAAGCTGGAAGGCAGCAAGCGAGGGGGTGAGCGGGATCTACAAACAATTGGCCAAGCTCTGTGGTCCTCTATATATGAAGATGTTTTCAGCCAATTAATGTGTTGTGTGTATATACATCTGGAAGAAAACCAGGAGCACCCGGCGAATATTTAATGGAACACTCAATGAGCAAAATGTTTAAATAGTACTTTCATCCTCAGTTTCCACTATTTATATGTGCACGGAATGTTTATATTGTGTGTGTGTGAATATATATGGCTTATATTCGGGGTGCTCTGGCACGGTGGTCGACGCACTGCACTATGAATCCGGCGATCTGAATTTGATTCCTGGCTATAACCAAAACTGCTCCCGTGCCTTCCCTAAGTTGACTCGGCATTAAATGAGTTTCTAGTGTAAAGCACCGGGGATGCAAAGGGAGTGGAGTATGGTGCTGGCCACACCACCGTCTCTGTATCTGTCTTTGTCTCCTCGGGCATTCTCTTGGCAGGAAGAACTTGGAGAAGAGGACTGTACTGGACAACATGGAGGGGGTTCTCCTGGCCGTGGATGAGATCGTGGATGGCGGGTGAGTCGTTGCACGTGGCTCTTAATTGGTTCACGCGGATTTCATTTTCAGGGTTCGGCAGTCGTCTGAGAGATTGCAGTTTGGGGCGCCGTGGTGGTGAGATGTTAACTGCCTCACCTGGTATGCAGGAGGTCGTGGATTCGATCTCGACCCAGACGCCTGCTGCTGTATATTTAGAGTTTGCTTTTCTCTCCGTGGCCTCCGCATCCTCTGTTTTTCCCCTCCACATTTATAATCAACATGCATTCAGAATATTTGGCTGCTTTACATTTCCACGTGATAAGCCACTTCGTTGAGCTATCATTTGTGGCCAGATCTCCTCCTACCTGGTAAAATAAAGAATACTCTTTGGTTCTTTCGGTAAAGTCACGCAAGCAATCGTCATCAGGCGGAAGAAAGAGGAGGGAAGTTGCTGATGCAGGCTGCTGCTTGTAAAGGTTAGAAATGGGCGTAGCCTCAGAGTCATAAACGGGGGGGGGGGGCTAATGATGTTAAAGTGAGAAATTTGCATGTAAATGTACTATGTAAATGTTATTAGCATGGCAATGTAAGCTTGCAGCGCACTACTTGACTTTACCGAAAGAACCAAAGGGTATGGATTCCTGCTGTCACGAAAGCTTCAAATAAAAAATAAATAATAGTTTATAGTTTTATAGTTTTGAGTGAAAAAGCATCTTAAACGCAATGAAGTTGCGGGGCTTAATTTCAGCTGGGTTCTGTTTGATGTTGCCAGCGCCCAACACATCACATCCAGTATTCCTCTCTCCGTGGCTCTGAGTCACGTGGCCTACTCCGATCTATCAGCGGCCCCCGAAAAATACTTGGCGAGAAACGTATCGCTGCCAGAGAGGGTTGCAACGCGACGCCGACAGACGTGAACACACGGAGGTTGGCGGCGAGGTGCCATGTTGACAACTGGAATGAGGCAATGTCATGCCGGGGATGAGATCGTCGTAAGCCATTAGATTTGGGACGCGTTTCTAGCGGATTTGGTCTCTCCCTTCTGCGCAGAGTGATTTTGGAGAGCGACCCGCAGCAGGTGGCACAGAGAGTCGCCTTGAAGGTGAGTTCTGCCATGACTCTCGTTGTCACTGTTGGCTCCCCGAGCAAAGGGCCTCACACTGCCGCCACCTTCCGCCACCTTCCGTCTGGTGTGCAGGAGATTCGTGGGTTCGATCCTGACCCCTTGACGCCTGTTATATATTTGGAGTTTGCGTGTATCTCTCTCCCTGTGGTCGCGTGGATTTTTTTTCTGGGTCCTCCGATTTTTCCCTCTGCATTTAGAATCAATGTGCGTTCAGAGTATTTGGCTGCTAGGAATTTCCACATAAGCCAATTTGTTGAGCGATAATTTGTGACCAGGTCACTTCTGAAAAAGAGCTATATAACTTAGTGGGCCTTACCTGGTAAAATAAAAAATTGTTTAGTTGAATAAACAGGGGGCTTGGGGAGGCTTTCATACAACGGTGGATAGAGCATGGCTGCTGATGATAATTTATTATTAAAAAAATGTATTTTAATTATCTATTCACACATCAGATCTCCAATACCTGGTCATAGTAGTATGGAATTTCCACGACTGTCTCATCAAAGCCACCAATGGAAACGAGCACGTCCCCCCGCGCTCACTCGCGTGGCAGAGAAGATGCCGTACTCGCCGTCTCGCGGTTGCCAGCTTGCAAGCCGAGCCTTTGGCCAGTTGTAGGTTGGAAAGTTCACGATTGCGAACGCCGTGGTCATGAATGACAACTACGATGGCTACGACGACGACATTATAAGCCCCCGTTGCCCTTCGTAGATTTGCTGACGTCGGTCAAATGCACCGGGCGAAGATTTACAGCAGCGGGTAGCTCTCTCCGTAGCCGTCTCTTCGGCCCCGCTAATTGGTACCTAACCGCGGTCGCTGATTTGACCTCCCGCTGCAAGCATCCCGTCACCCCCCCTGTGGAGCTTTTCGCGAACGCTCGCCTGCTTTGCTCATCGCCGCAAAATCACTAGCGGCCAGTGTTCCGAGCCAGCGCTTTACGATGGTTAAATTAGTAAAACAGCGTTCTGGGGTGTGCACGCACACACGCACGCACGCACACACACAGCGGTAGCAGCAGCGGTGCGAGCGTGCACTCTATATTTAGCTCACTAGCCGCTGTCCGTAGAGAAGCGTCAGCACGGTGGCCCTTCGCCGTGACGCTTCTCTGCGGTTTGGCGTTTTTAATCAGACAGGCGCTGGTGACATCGTCATCTGTTCTTACCCGCCCCTACTGGACATGTGTGAAAAACAACTGTATAGCTTATCGGATTCCTCCAGTGTAAATAAATATTCCGATTCCAATCTTCCAAGCAAAGAGCTTCCGGGATGGGTGCTCAGCATTGTCTCTCGGCTGCCCACCGGGTGAGGTTCTCTTGCATTGTGAATGTATCTTTTTTATTTGAGTGCGTTTCCTGTACATATGTATATTGATTTAGTTTTTGCACCATGCATGGCTGACAGTGCTAATCGGAGGTGCAGGGGAAGGACAACAAACTGAACACAAAAAAGCAGTACCTTTAGAAGCACAATGGAGCATTGATTCTCCTTTCAATGAATATCGATTCTCAAGCTCGCAATGCGTTCATGCATCGAATTGTGCGTGTGTGTGTGTGAGTCCACGTGACCACGGGGTGAACATGCAAACTCCCAGTATTCAGCAGGTGTCAGGGTCGCGATCGAACCCATGACCTCCTGTATACCAGATGAGGTTGTTTAACGTCTCGCCACTGAGGCGCCCCAAATAAGCTTATTATTCTGGTAAATATTGGCTGCTGAACGTGCGTTGTCTTGCAGGTTGACGATGGATCACTGTCAGAACAGACCGTGTCGCAGGTAAGCGTTGTCACCACACACGCACACGAGTCCACAATGCCACAGTCTCTACGAATGTGTTAGTCGCTCATCGCTCTGGCCCCCGTGCACTGTATATTAACATGGCAATAATCTCACACTGACCAATGAACCATTCAATTAATTTCAATGTCTTTTCACAAAAAGGCTGTTTCAAGTATTCACGCTTCCTAACATGTGTGTGTGTGTACGTGCATGCACGCTTCGGCAAGAACAACCCCCTACCTCCTCGTGGTGCTAGACGGGCAACGCTGTCATGGACAGTGCTGTGTGGGGGAGGGCCAATTCCGATTGACCTTTCCCCTCAGGGTGTTGGTAACTACCACAGCGGCCAAATGGGGGCTCTGGATGGGTGCGAGGGGCTGGTAACCCCTCCACCTTCAATAAATTACCACAAAACCACGTAAAAAATATCTAATTAATAAGCTTGTGCCGGAGGCCCCAGGGGGACAGTCGTCTATGACATCTTCTGGCCAAACCCCATTTGGCGGAGCCAGGAGATTACATTTTTACCCGCGGGGCTCCTCCAGAAACAACAAAAAACCACTACGGATGGCCACATGGAATGTTCGAACGCTCACTGTGGAGGAGAGGCTGCCACTCCTCTGTGGGGAGCTGGACCGGTCCCGCCTGGATCTCTGGCATTCAGGAGGTCTGGTGGACCGGCTCTGGCTCCTGCCACCATGAGGGGTGGACAGTCCTCTACTCGGGGCAGGAGACTACCAAACACCAGGGAGTGGCTCTTCTTCTGAACAAAAGAATGAAGGGGGCGTGGGAGCGTGGCGGTGAGGTGTGGGAAGCTGTAAGCCCCAGGCTACTTTGGGCTCGGCTTCCCATCAACCGGAGGCGAGGAGTGGTGGTCGTGGTTACTTATGCCCCTACCGAAGATGAACATCCGTGGAGGGATGCAGGCAAGGCCGATGAGTCAGATGCCTTTTACGACCTCCTGTCAAAGGTGCTAGCTAAAGTGGCCCCTCGGGATAGAGTCATCTTGTTGGGTTACTTCAATGCCCGAGTTGGTCATGATGCTGGCACCTGGTCTGGAGTGATTGGAAGGCATGGTCCAGATCAGCTCAATGACAACGGTAGGAGGCTGCTAGACTCTTGTGCAGCCCATGGGCTTGTAATTACCAACACACTGTTCCGGCATCGGCACATCCACACAACATCATGGATGCATGCCGGGTCCAAGCAAGAACATACTGCTGGACTACATAGCGACGGAACAGCGGATGCGGGCCCATGTCCTTGACACCAGGACCGACCATGGAGCTGATCCTGCCCTCTTACCATCGACTTGTCATCTATAAGATGCGCCTGCCATTCTTCCACTGGTGGTGGGTGTACACCCAGGACCCCATTCCGAACTAAGGTGGCCTGGTCTCAGCTCGCTGATGAAAGTTGCAAGTGAGAATTTCATCATCGCTTGCGGCTGGGGTAGGTATCGTCCCCCACTCCTCCTGACGTCGAGGGTAAATAGGCGAGGTTTAGAACTGTGACTCAAGCAGCTGCAATGGCTGCTTTGGGTATGCGGTGCAGAACTCCCCAGAGACCCTGGCTGACAGAGGAGGTGTTCACGATGGCTGAGAAAAAGCGACAGGCCCACTCTAATCGTCTACAGCATCCCACGTCAGAGAATGAGGAGAGCCGTAAGGTGCTGCAAGGATGGATGGGTGGTGGTCGCGGGTTGCTGAGGAGATGGAATCTGCTTCAATGGCCCACGATCACAAATTCCTATTTAACTCCGTCAAAAAAGTAACCTGCAGCGCCACACCTATTACCATCATTAGGGGAAAAAACGGCGATCCAATCTCCGACCCCTAGGAACAGGTTTACAGATTTGCTGAGCATTTCTGTAAAGTCCTCGGGGAGGGGAAATCCATCGACATGGAAAACATCGTGGGACAAAGTGGGGATGACTCTGCTGCGGCTGTGGTGCCTCAAATATTGGAAGAAGTAGTCACCCTCTGGGTGGCTGGCTGAGGTGTCATCTGTTGAGGAAGTACTAAAGGCGATCCAGAGTCTGAGACCAGGAAAGACACCGGGCAGAGATTATCTCCCAAGCAAAATGCTGAGGGAGGGTGGCGTTTGTGCACAGACTGCCCTACATGACATCATAACATTCCGGACAACTGGACGGGTTCCGCAGGATTGGAAGAATGCCTTGGTGGTCCCCCTCTTTAAGAAGGGGGAGAGGCTTGTGGAGCCCCAATGCGGTTTCAGGAAAGGGCGGTCCTGCACAGATGCCATATTTTCTGTCCGTTTGCTACAACAGAGGTGTAGGGAACTACAACAAGACCTACATCTCTGCTTTATTGACCTGGTCAAGGGCTATGATACCATCAGTAGGCCTGGGCTCTGGGTTGTTTTTCGTGCTTTCGGAGTCTTTGACCCTCTGCTCACGATCATTAAGGATCTTCATGATGGTGAGCTGACCCGGGTAAAACTACGTGGCCGGGAGTCGAAGTCATTCTCCGTTCACCTTGGGGTGCGACAGGGATGTCCTCTGGCTCCCACATTATTTAACATATTTTTAGACCACGTAGTTCGTGAAGCCTTTGATGGCTGTACCAGAGGAATTTCCATCTGGTACAGATAAAATGGGAGATTGATCGATGCCCGGGTGCGGTCAAGGGATGGCTCCCTATTGGTCAGTCATGTTTTGTATGCTGATGATCTTGTAATTTCCGCTCACTCAGTGGAGGAGTTGGAGGCGCTGCTGCTGAACCTGGAGCGTACCACTAAGAGGTGGGGCCTTACCATCGGCCCCACCAAAACTAAGCACCTGCCTGGGTATTTGGTACCATCGGACAACCCACCCCCACAACTCTCAATCGGTGATGGGGCAGTTGTGGAGAGAGTGGAGAGTTTCCCATACCTGGGCAGTGTGCTCATGACTGGCTCCGGTTTGACAGCAGATGTCTCACTCTGAATCAATCGAGCGGCGATATATTTTCATCAGTTGCGTAACGCTGTGTGGAAGCTACCTGGTCTGTCGCTCCGCACGAAGCTTCAAGTCTTCTCGGCCACGGTCATTTCATCCCCTCTCGACGCTTGCGAAACGTGGACCCCCCTAATGGAGCATCTTCACCGATTGGAAACATTTAGGCTGGCCTGCTTACGATCCATCCTGCGTTTAACCAGACTGGATTGTGTGAGGAGCTCACAAATCCTTGAAAGATCTGGGCAAAGTCCCATCGGTGAGCTCCTCCGGCAGGCAAGGCTGCATTTGCTGGATCATGTAGCCCGCATGCCCAGTCACCCCATGCCTAAACAGCTTTTATTCGGCCGGATATAGGGGGCTAAACGTGCGCGGCACGGGCGAGAGAAGAGATGGAGTGATGTGGTACAGGAGGATGTGGAGCTGAGTGGACTTGCCGATGACTGGTACCAGCGGTGTCAAGATCAGCCTCTGTGGAGGAGGCTCGTGAAAGACGCTGCTGGGCAGTTGGAGGCAGTCGCCCTCCAACAACAACGGAGGGCGGAGGAGCGACGCTCACAACAACGAGCGGAGCGCCGGGTGGCTAAAGCACAGCAAGTTGGCACAGTAGGGGGCACAGGTGGTGCATCAGCCAGTCATCTCAATCATGTCAGTCACTCAACCCGTGGCACCTGCTGGGTCTGCCCCGTGACCTCCTGCCAGCAGACGTTCGACACTTCACGTGGCCTCAAGGTACACATAGCCTGGCACAAGCATCGTGGTGACGTCACTGCCACTTAGTGGCGAATGGCAGTTGTTGTTGTTCTACGTGCACGCGTGATTCATAATTGATTGTCAAATGTGTGTAGATCGCTCTCCAACAACACAGCAGGAATAAATTAGTCACGTTTGTTCATCACGTGACAGCTTTATTCATTGGCTGTGTCGGGTAAAGAAGGGTCTACGACGCACATTTAACTCTCCCGATCTGAGTATCAATTATGAATCGTAATATTGTCTGCGGAGGCCTACCTGTGTGTGTGTGTACCTTTGTGGGGAGCGGTGGTGTTGTGGCTAGCGGGCTGTGCTGTGAACCAGGCAACCCGAGTTCGATTCCCACTAACGGCCAACCACCAGTGACGATTATCTGAAACGGTCCTGTGCCTCCGCTAGGCCGACTCAGTCTCAAATGAGTAGCCGGTGCTACCGGCCTTCATAGGTGCTACTCGCTAACAGCATTTGCCCCCAAAGTTTGTTAAGGCTATGCAGGGAGTTCTTTGTATTAGCACTTCTGGCAAACTCGTGTAAATCTGTAAACGCTGAGCCAGTGGTACACGACTTCCCTGGTTTTTCAGCGAGCGCGATGCCGATCACACGATCACACACGGTTCGAATTCGACCCTCGATCAATGGCTGCGCCATCGCCGCACACGCGTCAAATAAAAAGCAAGGGACAAGTCCTTACTTACTAACAACTCCTTACTTACTAACAACTCCTCTATAATTTTTCATTGCTGGAGGGGTTGCCCCCCCCTACCTGAAAATCCTGGCTCCGCCATTGATCACGAGGCTTCTCAATCACAACCAATCCATAATTCAGAATGGATGGCGCAGCATCTTTGATGTTTAACTGCAGATCTTTATTTATTTGTGCTTAGCAAATAACAATGCTCTCTTTGTTTTGTTAAACCGTGTTTTTTGTTCATACAGCAAATAGCTCAAAAGCTTGGCATGAAAGGGAATGTAAGTGCATGGCTCCCATTGACCTGGTGACGGGGTAGAGGGTTCACAAGCACAGACGAATTTCAAATCCTATATTTGTTTCCAGTCAATATTGATTCGACAACTTGAAAGGTTTAAAAGTGATTTACAAATTTTTTTCCCCCAATGTGCAATTCTGCTCAAGTATTTTTAAATGAAGTCTGTGTAACGTCTTCCCTTTTTGAAATGCATCTGTGCATTTGAACCCGAACAAAAATCTAATAATAATCTAGTTTTAGCTTTCATGCTTAAACGCAATTTTCCTTCCATTCATTAAGGTGACATTCTGGTCTGCTTCATCATCCGTCCGCCATGGTTTAACATCGCCTCTAAAGACGCTGCTGGCCCTTGCTTGGATAGTATGAAGGTGCCACGGTGGCGATTTGTTATCAGCCTTGCCTGGTATACAGGAGGGTTGTGGGTTTGATCCCGACCCTGACGCCTGTATATTTGGAGTTTGCATGTTCTCCCCGTGATCGTGTGGATTTTTAACCGGGTCCTCTGGTTTTTCCCTCCACATTTAGAATCAACATGCATTTAGAGTATTTTGGCTGCTATTAAATTTCACATTATAAGCCACTAAGTTGACCTGTCATTTGTGGCCAGGTCGCTTCTGAAAAAGCTATATAGCCTTACCTGGTAAAATAAAAATTTGAGTTAGTTTAGTTTATGGGGGCATCAGGGTGGCCTCACAGCTACAAATTCCTGGGTTCCATTCCCGACACAGGCGCCTGTCTGTGTGGGATTCCTCCGGCTTCTCCAGCTTCCTCATCTCATAGTTAAACAATAAAAACTTTCAATGTGTCTGTTATTGGCCAAATGTAACAATGCAAAAAATAAAATACTTGCAATTTAACTCAATTGGGATTACGCAAGGCAGCACCGCGTCCCGCTGCAAAACAAACCTGAACGTTCTGTTTATTTCGGCGGGGAAGGCCCATCGAGCTCGTTGTTATCTCTCTCGATGGGTGTCCTGCGATGGCACTGGTAGAAACTTGGTGGCGGTGGAGTGGGCCCCTCGTAAAAACAACCCTAACAACAGAACAACAACATCAAAAAGTGTGAGCGTCACACAAATGTTCCGCATTGCACACCGCTGCGAGGAACTGACTCTTACATTTCGCCCGTGTGTGTGTGTCTGTGCGTGCGTGCTCGTGGCAGGTGCTGCAGTCGGCCAAGGAGCAGATTAAGTGGTCCCTTCTCAAGTGAAGGATGCCATTGTCTGTGCTCCCAACACATTCCACACGTTGAAACGCCTCCCCCTCCCCAACCTGATCGACACACGCACACACGACCACGCACACACGACCACGCACACACACACACGCGCGCACACACACACACGTGCACCTAGCACCATCGTTGCGTTCCCCACGTTCGGGCGAAACCTCTGCGCTGTGTTTTGCCTCCCGCAGTGAAGTACTATTGCCATTGGGTTATTTATTGTAGGTTGATGTTTCACAATCCATGGGAGAGGGGGGGAGTGGAGGGGATGGTGGGTAATTGAGAATTCGACGAGCTACTTTAACAGGATTCACGTCGAGTCCGTAAAGTACGTTTATTTCACGTCGTAGAAGAGTGATTCGTATTTTGTATTTTAAACGTCGAATAAAACCAGTCCAAGCCGTCCTCAGGCTGTCGCGTTTCGGCGGAAATTTCATCTCTCCGTTGGCCACATATTAGGCGGCGGGGAGAAGCGATTCTACGAATCGGCAGGGGTTGGCCGATTTTCACCGTGCGTTGGTGGGAAACTGCCCTAAACCAGCAAGGCAAACGTTACTCTCGCACTACTCACCTTCCCATCGGTGACTGCGTTCAATTTTGTTTTGCTTGTCTGAAGATATAGAGCTTTGTCGGGGAATTTTGAATCGATACTCGCAGACATTAAAAAAGGGACATTGTATGGAAATGTGTAGACACTTTTGTGTGTGTGTGCGCACATGTAGACGCTTTAAACAAAATTCCGATCGTACCAGCAGTCGTTGTTGAACGTCGTGCTTATTTTACTCGGTGTTTGTCAAGGATATTAACACCCGCAATCGGTGTATGCTGCTTGTCTCTTTAAAATGTCATCGTATCGAGGTGAGCGGGCGGGCAGGTGGTTGGAGGGGTAGGTGGGCGGGTGGGGTAGGTGGTTGGGTGGGTGGGTGGAGGTGCAGGGTAGGTGGAGGGGGGGGGTAATTAACCCCCACCCTATGTGGTGGATCGACCTGTGGAGTGTAGGCGAACTTTACGATTTTTCGAGCAGGGTGGGGGGGGGGTGCAACCGCCGAATTTGACTTTCGAATGAATTGACACCAATTGGAATACAGGCATTGACGAGTCAATCTTCGTCAGAGCCTTGCCACCTTTGCGAGCGAGCAACTGTGTGTGCTCGCTGAACAGGGAACAGGGGGGCGGAGTGAAGGGGGGGGGGGGAGTCCTGGAGTCCCGTGCTGGCAGAGGATCGTCTACTGGACATCTATGAAACAGAGTTTCATAGCTCATCGGATTCCTCCAGTTTCAATAGATATTCCGATTGATTTTGAAGAGTGCTGCAGACCGCTGAGGAACTCTGGTCATCCGCAGGACCGTGCGTTGGGAGCCACTGATTGTGTTTACACCTCGTGGAGCGTTGCGTCTCGGAAAAAACCAATTGGACAAACAAACAAAAAAGAACATACACAGAGTGGGGGGTGCGCGCGTTCCCCCCTCCAACGCGTGATTTCGCGCCCCGTGCTTCATTTGATGTTTCTTCAACTCGCACGGCTAATAATGCAACCGGCTCCACAGGAACATCGTCTCTGTGGCTGGCACCACGTCGCGGCTCATCGGCGATTAAAGCCAGCACGGCCCATGCGCTGGCACGCCAGTTGTGTTGTTTTCGGTTTGTGTGAATTGCAACGCTGGGAGTGCCACCGTGTGCCGAATGAACGTTGAGCTGCGAGCGTACATCTCCATTGGAGCTGAGCTATAATCTACTTTTATTTGACCAGGGTAAGGCCCATTGAGATATACCGTACAGCTAATACTGGTAGGAACCTCCTGGTTACACCAGCCCACAGGGGATTATTGTGTCCGTCGTGGAGGGAGGGTCTGGGTGGGGAGGGGCTGGGTGGGGAGGGTGGGGTCGGGGTCGAACCCACGACATCCATATCAGGCGAGGCAGTTAACATCTCGTCGCTGTAAGCTGCTGAGCCAGTGGTGGGAAATCCTTAACGCCTTTAGTGGAGATCAATTTACGCTTTGGACAACCGTTGCCGACCTACCACAAAAGTAGTACATTGTTTTATCAACCCTGGAGAGGATGATAGGCTGAGTCGTGCTCCGACCAAAATTTGACCTCGCAGTTTGCCGAGTACGGAGAGAGTGGTGTCTCGACTGACCACGGAATGACATTCCGCTGCAATGATTAGGATCGTGGTGATTATCTGATTCATTGTGTCGTGGGCACAAGGCTACAACGTCAACCTCGTGTGTGTATGTCTTGACTGTGCGTCGTTAGTGGCGGTGCTAGAGAAGACACATCGATGTACTTGGAGGCTGCGTAATTACAAAGAGCAACTCGAATAAACCTGACACTCGGTAGTTACACGCAGCGTCCTTACAAGACGATTCATATAACGTGGAGGAGGACCTTGTCCACAATTAACAAACAAATAAATGCAATTTACGACTTATTCCGCTTTTCCATACACCGGTAAAAATCGTTGCGGTTGTATTTCCTGCAGCACTGCAGTCGCACTAAATCCAATTTACGACGACAGTAATGCGTGCACTTCGATAACAGTGACTTCAGCGAAGACGGGGAAATAGATAAAACAAGGAACACAAAACAAAGTATGTTGACTCCGTGTGTCTCTTGATTTTGTACAATTTGCTAAAGCTTGACTCGTTGGCGGAGGGAGTAAACCTTGCGGGTGCAGAGACGGCACAATCCGTGACCAGCCGAATCTCCTCCGTACGAGCTTGTACGTGTCCATTGAGAGCTGGTTTGCTCAGTGGGCCTTACCTGGTAAAATATAAAAAACAACTAATTCGTTGGGGTTTTTTTTTACGTAACGAAAAAAATCACCGTGTATAGTTCTGTTCAATAAAGTTATAGGGAAAGGGGGTCAAAAGGTCACTCCCGTCTTTCTGTTTTCTGGATGCGTGGCAACCAAGGCATCAATAGGATCTCCAAAGCATATAGCGGATCGCCTCTTTATAAGGATGGAGCAAACTTGTTAAAACTGTGATCATTATTTGAACATAGTGTTTAACAAGTTTGTTCTATCCCTATGGCGCCACGGTGGCGAGATGTTAACTCCCTCGCCTGGTATGCAGGAGGTCGTGGGTTCTGATCCCGACCCTGACGCCTGCTGTATATTTGGAGTTTGCGTCTTTCTCTCCCCGTGGTCGCGTGGATATTTCTCCGGGTCTTCTGGGATTTTCCTCCACATTCAGAACGAACATCACGTGTCTAGAGTATTTGGCGGCTAAACGTTTCCACGTGAATAAGCCACTTCGTTGCGCGATCATTTGCGGCCAGAGTCGCTTCTGAAAAAGAGATGTATAGTGTTCAGTTGGCCTTCCCTGAGAAATAGTTGATATAGTTTATTTACAGACCTTTGTCAATAATTTTCACGATTAAAGCCCCCCCCCCCTCGCTATCATTAATGGGGGGAGTTTGACGTATGTATTGGTGAACTTCTTTTGCACAGTACGTAGCCAACCGTGTTAATCGGAGGGGTGGACAATGTTTTTTTTACCTGCACGCTCTTGTCAGCATTGCGGCTTGGTGAACGAGAGGGAATGCCTACAGGGCCGGTTCGGATATCGCTCGCCGCTGATGTTAGCCGTGGCCCTGGATTCCATCTCGGCTCGCGGCTGTCCTCACAGCCGCACCCGTGTATGGATGGCATCGTAATGGTCAAGCGAGCTGAACGTTGCTCACAGGGCAAATGGAACATAAGCTACCGATCTTCGAATTCGGGCACGTGCGCAGGACGCTCGCTAATTAATTGCAGGATAGGGTACGCAACTCGTACGGTTCAGCATGGAACGGAGCAAAATGAGGGGTGTCGGTGTAGATGGAAAAAGAGGAGGGAGTGATTGATGGGATGCGAGCGCCTGATGGCGGAGGGCATGTTATTGAGATGGGCGATGAAACAATAAGTGGACTTGGGAAGCAGTAGGTGTTCACAGCTGAAGGGTGGAGGCTATGCAGATTTTTCTGCGGCCGTCTGGAACGCTCTTCCGATATTAGGAAGCCACTGGAGCTATACACTTATACATCATCTAGAGCGAAACTAATTTCTTGAGAACTGCTTTTTTGTGTTTAGTGTCGTTGTCCTTCCCCCGCACCTCCTATTAGCATGGTTGGCTACCTACGGTGCGAAATAAGTTAAGCGTAATACAAACAAACAGATGAGCGGTGGCATCAAAGACATTGTGACGACTTTCTCGAATTTGAATCTTTTTTTTTCACGTGCCGGTGGTGAAGACCGCCAGAAGTCTGGTGAACGTGTTCGTGGGACGAAGCGTGCGGAGTTCCACGCAAAGATCAGGAAACGCTTCCTCCTTCCTGCCCATTCGGGGGAAGCCGGACGATGTTTGATGACACCAACAACAACGCCAAATTTTATTAAACGGGCGAGCGCCTCTCATTCTTGTGCCGTAACTTGGCCGTGCAGCGTTAAAAGTAGGTTTTGTTTTGTTATCTTTGGATAAACCCCAGTTGCGGGTTTCACATTTCATCTTCGTGTCATCGTTTTCACTGCGCCGGCGTTCAAAGTATTCGTTCGGGACTGGCTGCAGTCCAACCGCCGACAGCATATTCCATTGGGGCTTGGCACATTTCTCAGGAGCACGGGATACTGCAGTATATTATCGGAAATGACTGTCCGTTCAACGATATATCTAAATGCAGCCCAAACTCATTTGTTTAGAGCCAAAAGCATGGCCCTGGGTGTGTTTGCGCTGTAAAAACCACAACACGCACACACGACGGCCATAACTCTTATTTTGTTTATGAAACTATTTTTCAAACGTAAATGGCTGGAATAATGACATGATTTCCACACGTGGCAGCGTCGTCCCGTGGCAATAGTTACTTTAGAAGGACGCGAAGAGATTCATGTAACTTGCGAAGGCGATTATATTTCACGTTTAGGCATTTGTTTTTGTTATGGAGGCAAATAAAAACTGCACGGAATCGTTTTGCGCATGCAGTCAACGCGGTGGTCGTGGCTATGCACGTGGCATGTGATGCAGCACTGTGCAGGCAGCGAGGGGTCGGTGGATGGCCGAACTAATCTCGTTAAAGTCCCTTCCCGTGGGCGTCGATGAGGTGCCATACCCTGGCTCGCCAGGAGATGGCAGTGCAGCGACAATGTGGACTCCACCTGTTCCGTCTGAATGGGATAGAGCGTTGCCCCCTCGCACGCGTGTGGGTTTCTCCGGGTGCTCCGGTTTCACCCCACGTGTAAACACTCGTTAATTGGCCTTTCATCATCACGATCCACAGGCAGATAGATCGTACGTGTCCACTGCACATTTCGTAATTTTTTCCCACTTTCCTTTGTTTTGTGCCAATATGCTCAAGTAGTGCCGCATCTTTTTGGTGATTGGCCGGTAACACCTTCATATATCGAGGACCCGCAGGGCTTGGCCAATTGTTGGCACCGGCTCATCGCGCGGCTGCCTTCAAGCTTGTTTGTGATTCCTCCTCGCGCGGTTGTTTTTGCACTGATTTCGGTTTTTTGTGTTCATACAGAATCTACATGCGACTGCGTCTCAAGGCGCTGTACAGAAAATGGGCATGTTGATTTTATACCGAGAGAAATATGCAGTCTGTCGTAGGCAGAGGCGGAGGGGAAGGTTTTGAGCATTGGAATTGAACAGGGGGTTTGGAGTCGACAGCACGGATGTCTGGGGGAAAAG